TGACATATGTATGGCAATATATGTCATATATACATATAAAATATAAATTCAATTTCACAATGTTTAACTTAATTGTATATCTATATATCGTTATTTCAAAGGATCAAGTTATTTTACCAAGTTTATTTTGATGTAACAGTAATAAAATCCCTCAAAAACATCCTCTACTGAATGAACGTTTGTGGCTCATTGGTTTGGAAAAGGCTTTGCATGATCTCCACACTGACAGCTGATAGTCACTTACTGAGGAAACGACATGCTAACAGTGTGTTTCCAGTTTACCCAGAGCTGACCCGCGTCCTCCTCGTCTGTTTATGCCTTCGCTGATTTATTGAGCTTTCAGAGGCGCAGATCGGACCAACCGCGGTCTGTCGTTCGTTCCTGCAAAACACCTTCACAAAGACACTCAGTGTGCTCATAGATGTGCATGCTCTGTGGTTTAATGGCCGGTGTGTCGTCTGACGATCTGAAAGGCAATATAGGAGGTAACACATTACAAGTAACGCGAGTTATGTAATCAGATTACTTTGGTGTGAAAGGGCTTTTATATTTATAAAGAAATAACTTTTTTATATTAAAAACAAGCAAGCAAGCCCTGCCCAGATTTAAAAAGTAACTCAAAAGCAATGTAACACATTACTTTCCATAGAAAGTAACAAAGTAACGTAATTAGTTACATTTTATAAAACGGAGAGTTCCGGTGCTTGATTCTGATTGGCTGAGCCGCGTTCGAAGCTGTTGTAAATTACTCTACAAACACACACCTTTGTTTACGTTTGTGGTTTTAGGCCCTAACAATGCCCCTTAGCTGTTATAAATTCACTGGAAACCACGGCTTCACGGGGCTTATTGCTTTATTTGGGAGTAATGCATTACTTTTAAAAGTACCTTTCCCCAACACTGCTGAAAGGGTTGGTGACGGAGGGCTGCAGATTTACTGAGATCTTTGAAGAGTCTGATCCTCTCATGTGGTTTTCATGAGCAGACACTTGTGCAATGGGAATGGCATTCAGCGAGGAGAAGCGCTCTTAAACATGCTGCTTTAGATCCATCTATGATCACAATGATCTTCTTATTTGATAAACTTCATCTACTACCAATAATGAACCATTGTGCCAATTTTATCCACACTGTGTTGTCCTGTTGATCGCCGGAGACGTTTTAAGGCACGTGTCTTGAGACGTTCAGTGAACTTACCATGAGATCATCAGATGTGAATCCGCTGAACCACTCCTAGAAACACACACACACACACACACGTGATGAAATCAGATCCGTTCGTTCGGACGTTGTCGGGATCTGCGTTCTCTTACAAGAGTGGATTTAATAATGACGTGATGCAGAGAGGCTTTCATCTGCTGGAACGTTACTGTTTCTGCTGATTTGATTTCTGCTCACTCTTTGCCTATATGAAAGAGCATCAAATATATTTTATTTAAAAATTAATATATATATAAATATAAATATATAATGTTTTAAATATTATTTATAAATATATAATTAAAAATTATAAATGAATTTTAATTAAATATTTTAAAGCTTGAAGTTATCAAACACTAAATTCTGAATTAAATATAGATTAATCTTTAAAGCTATAAAAGTTCTTTTTTTTCCTCTTTTTTTCTTTGTCCTTTGATTAATAGAAATCACAGCAGCTGGTTATTAGGTTATTTTGGCTGCTATTACTTTAAGAGCTGCCGCTGCTGAACGTGACGCGGATCTGACACGCATCGTATTTTCTCTCAACTCTCTTTACCTTTTCTGACCCACTTCAGGTCTTAAAGTCTCTATTAATGAGCTGACGAGTTGAATCGGGTGTGTTAGATGAGTGAGACAGTGCTATATGTATATATGATATGAAAGGATACAGGCTTTGTGCATGCAAAAGTACCGTTTCCGCGCTCGTTTTGACTCGCGCCTGGCGCTGAAGTGAAGAGGAGTGCGCGACTGAAACGTGTCCTGTTCTCAGTCGTTCTGCGACTGAATAAATGCACTTCTTGTCAAGAGAATAAGTGACAGAACAGCAGTTGTGAGTGGAGTGGCCAACACTAGCCCCGCCCCTGCGTTAATTGCGTTAAATATTTTTAACGCGTTAAATTAAAAAAATTAATCGCCTGCGCTCACACATGTATAGGATCTGGTTGTGGACTTCATGCATTGTTTTGTGTTTAAGCAATAATCAATCTAACATATTTCAGTCAGAAATGGCAGAAAAGCACATTTTTGTCCTGTCTGAACACATGTATATGACTGAAGTGTCTGAGCGTTGATGAAGTTCACTCACAGACAGTGATTTCTGTGTTTTAAACATCCGGCTTGAGCTCTTTTCTCTCTGTCATTGACTCTAGTGTAAATGAAGAATATATAAATGAGCGGCTCCATCAGATCAGTGTTATTTTACATCAGACTTCATTCACAGATCGCTGCGTTTGCTTGAGCTTGACCACAGTTTTTCTCTCTGTGTGGTTGTTAGTGATCTGAATGAGTCACTATATGTCTGAATCTCACCAAACCTGCCATCTCTGATGAATCTTAATGCTCATTAGAGTCTCATTACTGTAATACAATACTGTTCTCACTCTATTACAGTAAAAAAATCAATGCAATAAAATCAAAAGCAAATACTACTACAATGTGTGCTTTTAAATAATATAAATGAGGTGGTAAATAATGAAATTCTATTATTAAATAATTGAATTTATTTAATTATGATATTATATATATTATATATGCACACACACAAATAAAAAATAAAATAAATTTGTATATGTATTAAAATGTGAAAATATACAAATGATATAATAAAATATAATATAAAACCATAATAAAGTAAAAATATAATATTTAAATATGCATGCATATTTACATACAAATATTTTTTTTTACTATTTTTACTGTATATAACTACATGTAAAATGTACAAAAAAATGTAAATTTATATATAAAATATTTAAATTAAAATATTTGTATTGCAATTTAAAATATGCATATATATATTAATTTGTTTTATTTGCATTTTAAATATTTAAAATTTTAAAATACAATATTTTTAATAAAAAATATAGGTGTAAATTTATATATAAAAACTGTAGTGTGTATATCTTAATATCTTAATAATTCTAAACAGAAAAAATGATCTTTGACTTCGTACTGAATTATGAGCTGAACGTGTTCTTGGCAGGTTTGGGAAATTCACTCTTGTTTGCTTGTATTATCAGTCTCGAGACTAAAGCTGATTGAGTTTTCAAACTCTGTTCGAGTTCAATCACATTCTGAGGATTAGACACACGTTCATGCATTAGAAGTGATTCTAGCAGTAAATATTACTACAGTACAGATCATTTCATCATTTCAACACAAAACATCATGTTTATCCCATCAGACTGACCTCAAGCCGCTTCTCCTCTCGCCTCTCTTCAGTCATCCTTCAGCTGTGTGTGTGACTCCCACCAGAGTCTCTGTGTGTGTGTGTGGTGAGTGAGTGAGCGTGTGTGTGAGTGTGTGTGTGTTATTGATAATAATATTATTTTATTTATGAAGTAAATGTATATTTCAATTATATTTAAAATTTAAATGTGGTAGTAAATTTAATTTGTGCTGGTTTTAAACAAAACTTTTATTATATTTTCTTCCACAGTAATACAAATTAGGGGGGAAAACACTATGACAATGCAAAATAATAAAAAGAAAAGGTTTCTAATAGACACACCTTTATACAAAAATGTCAATATTAAGTCATGCTTTATTTATTTATTTATTTATTGTTTGTTTGTTTTTTTGTTTGTTTGTATCATGAATATTAGTAAATGAATACAAATGAATGCATAGTATTTCTATAAAATACTTTTACACAAAATTAAACTAAGCTCAAATAGACATTTGGAGGATAAAAAGTGCAAAAAAAAAGTGCAATAACATTAAAACAATAATAATAATAATTTTTACAATAATAAAAATAGGCTTTACAAAATATATAAAATAAAAAACGTTTTAAAATGTCATTAATAATTTTATTTTATTTTATTTTATTATTTTATTTTATTTTATTTTATTTTATTTTATTTTATTCAGAGGGACTATAAAAATATCTGTCCTACATACTTTTTTTACAAAAATGGATTTGTTCCCCTTTTAAAACTAGCTAAACCAAAAATTTTGAGGACAACTTAGCAATAAAAGGCAATAAAAAAAATTATAAAAATGTATTTTACATTTTTTTTTTCCCACAGTGATATAAATAAAAATTCTCTAAAAATACCATTTAAAACCATTAAATTTTTTTCTTTCTTCATTCAGAATTTCTTATTTCTGTCTTTACTGTGGTGAAATATGATCTGATCAGAATTTCTTATTTCTGTCTTTACTGTGGTGAAATATGATCTGAAATCAGACTCCTGCGCCTGTGAACGTGCGCAAGATCTCGTCCCATCATCACACCGCATGGATCCATATAGCTTTGTGTCCCACGATCATAATTAATGAACAGAAGCAATATTGTGTTTTTCATCTGGGTTGTAAAATATGATATCTGTCCGGCCTAAACCGTGTGAGCGTGTTTCTCTGTGTTAGTGCTTCCAGATGATTGTGGGTCTTTCTCGTGTCTGCAGTGCTCGGTGTCCTGCGGGAAGGGAATCAAAGATTACTGTGGTGAAATATGATCTGAAATCAGACTCCTGCGCCTGTGAACGTGCGCAAGATCTCGTCCCATCATCACACCGCATGGATCCATATAGCTTTGTGTCCCACGATCATAATGAATGAACAGAAGCAATATTGTGTTTTTCATCTGGCTTGTAAAATATGATATCTGTCCGGTCTAAACCGTGTGAGCGTGTTTCTCTGTGTTAGTGCTTCCAGATGATTGTGGGTGATTGTGGGTCTTTCTCGTGTCTGCAGTGCTCGGTGTCCTGCGGGAAGGGAATCAAAGAGCGGCAGATCGTCTGCGTCGATCAGAACCAAACACAGATCCAGGAGCACAGCTGCGCTCATCTCATCCCACCCAGAACACAGAAGGCCTGTCGGGCCGGACCATGCCCCTCCTGGAGAGCCAATCGGTGGAGAGGGGTATGTGACATCACTTCCTGGAATTGGCTTTTTCATCATTATTATTATTATTAATAATGAACACACAGCACTCCTACATAAGGTACTTTTATACTAAAAATACCAATAATTTATTTTATTTTTTTAATGTCAATAATCATCTTTTTTTTCTATTTAATTTTATTAGTAAAATAACAAACAGTACTGCCACATTAGATACTTTTATGCAAAATATACCAATACATTATTCCTTATTGTAATGTATTTGGTATAAAAACTACATTTAACTTATATTAAATTTATAAAATAAAAATAAATGTTATTTTATTTTGTGATAAGATTTGTTCGTGATCTGTTTCTGTTCGTGTTTCTTTTGGTTATTAATTAAAGACATTTTACTTTGAGTTACTCCTCGCTTCACAGTATTGTGACAATGACCACCTTTACTAGAATTTATCACATTTTATTGTAGGCTTATTTATTGTTGTAAATTGTGTCTAACTTGTTGTAGAGTTTATAACAGACAATCTGTTAAGGGTATAGATTTATATTACAGCTGTGGCATGTTGTAGCTTTTTTTTTATTTTTTAAAAGAAGTCATTGTTGGCCTGGTAATGCTAGCCTTATTATAACAAATGCTACAGTTAAGAACTCATGAGAGCAAGTACAAGTCAGAATCGAGGGCCGTGTGTAAAACGGGTTCGAGTGATGGAAAAACCTGGCCTTCAGATATTCCAAGAGATGGCAAAGATTAAATCATTAAGAGCCTGATGAACTGTTAAGGAGTAAGAAATAAGCAATATCAATGTAAGAAAATGTTAAGTTAGATTGACTTCCCATGGCATGTTGAACTAGAACATTCTGTCAAACTATAGCCTATAAAAGTGGCTTAATAATATAAAATACACTATTTGTGGCCCTACAGCACAAAAGCAGTCTTAAGTTGCTGGGGTATATTTGTAGCAATAGCCAACAATACACTGAATGGGTCAAAATTATCGATTTTTCTTTTATGCCAAAAATCATAAGGAACTTCAGTAAAGATCATGTTCCATGAAGTTATTCTGTAAATTTCCTACTGTAAATATATCAAAACTTAATTTTTGATTAGTAATATGCATTGCTAAGAACTTCATTTGGACAACTTTAAAGGCGATTTTTCTAAATATTTAGATTTTTTTGCACCCTCAGATTCCAGATTTTCAAATAGTTGTATCTCAGCCAAATATTGTCCTATCCTAACAAACCATACATCAATGGATGGAAGTTTATTTATTCGGCCCAGTAATTGGTTATCAACCATCCTTGCATGTGCAGATGATAGCACAAAAGACCATTTTACAAAAAAAAACATATTAGCAAACAAATAAAATAAATAAAGCTTATGAGGGAGCATGACCCAGGACTCCACTAAAACAGTTCACACTTCAACCCGCCAGTGTTCAAACCAAAACTATGCCCTTGGTTGCGGTCAGATCCAATCACTCGGGACGTCCCGGGTCTTCCCACCTCTACACCCAGTGTTGGGGGTAACCCATTACAAGTAACGCGAGTTACGTAATCAGATTACTTTTTAAAAGTAACTAGTAAAGTAACGCATTACTTTTTAATTAAATAGAAGGAAATATCTGAGTTACTTTTTCAAATAAGTAACGCCAGTTACTTTGTTTCCCATGCATTCCCAAAAATAACGTAATGCATTACTTTCCATAAAAAGTAACAAAGTAATGTAATTAGTTACTTTTATTAAGGGAGTAACGCAATATTGTATTGCATTACTTTTAAAAATACCTTTCCCCAACACTGTCTGCACTCACTCCTGCCCCGGCTTTACCCCCGAACCCCGTCACGATCCCCCCATCATCCCCCTCTGCGTCTGGAAGCAATCAGCTCGTCTCACAGGCCTGCATAGAGCATGAAATCCGCCAGCGCAGCGGAAAGACATGCTTTATATCTGAACACAGCGCCTCTCAAACACACACACTGCTCTAATCATCAATGCATTCCACCCCAAGAGTCATTGTTGCATAAAACAGTCTTTTTTATCATACTAATACCATATTGTATCTGATCAGCAATTTTGGTAACACTTTATTTTAAGGTGTTATTGTTACACATTACATGTACTTAATATTCTAATAATAATAAATTATGCCTAATTACATGCAAGTAGCCCTAGGCCAAACCCTAATCCTAACCCTAACCATATAGTAAGTACATGTAGTTAATTAATATTACTCAGTACTTAAATGTATAATTACACTGGAACAAGGACACCTTAAAATAAAGTGTAACCTCAATTTCTTATTAAAGGGTTAGTTCAGCCAAAAATTAAAATTAGCCCATAAATTACTCGCCCTCAAGTCATCCTAGGTGTATATGACTTTCTTCTTTCAGACGAATCCAGTCGGAGTTATATTAAAAATGGTCTTTGATCTTTCAAGCTGTTTAATGCCACTCAGCGGGTGTTGCATGCATCAGTCCAAAAGAAGTTAAATAAAAAGCTCCCATCCATAAAAAGAAGTGTCTCACACGGCTCCGGGGGGTGAACAAAGGCCTCCTGTAGCGAATCGATGCGTTTTTGTAAGAAAAATATCCATATTCAAAACGTAATAATCACTTGAATCTAGCTTGCGCTCACTGTTGTAAACAGAAGCAG